CCAAAACTTTGTAACTTTAAATTGTGGTGTCCTCAACTTCCAAAACTCCCCAGCCAGGCAGGGCGGCGGGGGAATTTGGGGAAGTTGAAGTCCACACATCTTAAAGTTACCAAGTTTGAGAAACACTCCCCTAATCCAGTTCTGTCAGGTTTTTGGAATTATAAATCTACCATGAGTCCAAACTATACCAAAGGGGATGAAGGGTGGGATACAACCTTGTTCTCTTGTCTCATTATCCTCCCCAGTATTTGGTAGATGGGTGGATCCTCTGGTAAAACTCAAAATTAGTTTGTTTTGGGTGTCGCAGGGAAACAATTATTTTAATTGTTGCATTTAGACCTTGCCTTTTACCTGGGAGCATAAGGTGGTACATGGAGTCTCCCCTCATTTTATCCTCTCACAACAACCCTGTAGGTTGGGCTGATAGAGAGGGACTGCCACAGCTCTCAGCACAACGTACCTTGCCTGGTTGAGTGGGGACCAGAACCTGGGTCTCCCCATTCCTGGTCCAGAACCTTCACCACTGGACCACACTGGGTTTGACCTGAGAGGAAGGGCCTGGCTGAAGGTCACCCAGGAGCTTCCTGTGGTAGACATTGTAAGAAGAGAGCTGTGTTAGTTTAGGGGGGCAAAAGATCAGAAAGTCTCTGGTAGCACCAATTGCGAACTAACGCATTTTATTAAAGGGCATAAGCTTTCATGAATTGAATCTGATGAAGAGCGCTGCAATTCACAAAAGCTTGTGTCTTTGTTTTATTAACCCGGGCTTAGGGCGTAGCATGTTGTGTGAATTCCTTTGAAGCCAGGCTCATTGTGAAAAGGACTGATTGAAGAGGAATGACCAAATAAAGGCAAATCATTCCACAAGCTTTAACTAGTAATAAATGCTTACTTGCTAGATTTCGCCAAATCCATTTGTGACTATGAACCATGGCAACAGCTAAAAATTGAGAGATTTCTTTGTGCGGGGCAGATAAAACTCTTTTTTTTTTACAAGGCCATTTGTCCGTCTCCTATGGGAAGCAAAATGTTTGATGCAATAGATCTGGTTCAAACTGGGTAATGGTTTTCAGTGTTGAATTTTGCCCAGGTGGAACAAATACTATGATATACTGTATTTATTTAGCTTTGCAAACTGCCTGTCAAGAAGAACTCTGTGTAACTCAAAAGCTTGCACTTCCATTTTTTAAAAAAAATCAGCCATGGAAAGCTATGGTTCTTGCACATGAATAATTCACTGCAGCAAGATTTATAGCATTAGGTGCCCAGTTCCATCTGAGCACAAACGTAGGAGCCAGGATTGAGGTGGATACACTGACCTAGAGCTCCATTGATGCACTTTTCTTTCCCCTTTAGGCCCAAGGAGTGGTGAAGGACCTGGATGCAGAGCTCCTTCACCACCTAGCTCAAGGCACAGCCTTCTTGCAAGTGAGCACCAAGGGGAACCCCCAAGGAGAGATGCGGGGCAAGGTATGTCCTGTTTTTTAGCTACTGGAGGCTCTGATTTCCAAGCCATGCTTTCGATGGATCCCCAGATGCCTTTTGAGCATGTGAAGAGTGATTTTTCCCTTCTTACTAGGCTGTAACCACAGGTGGTCTCCAAACACACTTGGAATTAGGGAAGAATGGTTTCAGATCAAACAACCCTTCCTCTCTGCAGAGATGAACCTATTAGAAATTAATTGCTGCCGGGGTACAGATGCGGATGTAACCTACAGAAAAGACCCAGGAGAGATATGGAAGTAGTCCTCAATTATCTGAAGGGTCGTCATCCAGAAGAGTAGACTTATTCTCTGTTGCCCCAAAGGGCAGGACCTGTGATGGAATGGAATTATGAAGGCCAAGTTCAGGGAGATAAACATTTTCTTAGCTCGCCAGAACTGCGTGGGAGGAACA